GTAACTAGTATAAAAATCTAATAAATTACATTTATTATTTACAGTTCCTATTGTTGATAGTTTTAAAACACCGTCTACTTCTTGTAGTATAGAAGACACTGATTTAGAAAAAATTTCAATATTTCATGAGGATTCAGTTATTCAACGTATGTATTTTAATTTTCAATTTTTAAAACAACAAATAATTATTAGTTATAGTTTAATGCACATTAATTTCTATACAAATATATTTTTACTAATTTAATGAAATGATAGAATTTTTCAAAAACAAACCCTGGCAGGTAAGTGTTTCAAATTTTACTGTTTTGTTGTTTATAGTTCCTTGTACATCAGGCAAAGTAATAAATGCATTTGACCTAGGCTCAACTTGTTTACCATCATCTACACCATCACATTTCAACAGAGAACTTGTTGAATGTGAATCCTCAGGTATGCCTATAAAAAAGTATTTTATATTTTCCGTTCAATAAATTTAATTTTGTTCAACAGAAGAATCTGAGTTGGAAGGAATTTCCAAGCTAGATGATGACTCGTTTCTTCAATGTATGTATAATAAACTAGTGTATTTATGCTTTATCTCTTTGCTTGATTTTATTACTTTGTTTTCAAGCTAATGAAGTAGTTGTAAAATCTATCAAAAAACCAGTAAAGCGCTTAAAAAAAACTGGTGATTATTTAATTTATATCTTATTTTTATCCTTAATGATTGTAAATTTTAAAAACCAAAATAAATTAATTTTTTTAATGAATTTGATTTTTTAGTTACAATTATTAGTATTTAATTCAAAAATTTGAAATTTTGTTTAGGGGTATTGACTAACATTGGTGTAATAAAAATGAGCCAATTAACACCAAAATGCAAGTCACTATACAGAGGAAGTGTATTGCTGAGTAGACGTTTGCGGTGGGAACAAAAGAAATCATCCACCTTCAAAAGTCGTTTGTCAGCAGCTGAGAAATTTTCTGAAGAGTTTTTAAATTCAAAAGCTGTAAGCCGTATGACTTCTGCAGCTGCCATTTTCACTAATTTACAACTGCGTGCAACAAATCAAAAAGCGCGAGGTAGAAGATTTTCTTTAGAAGAGAAACTACTCAGCTTATCTCTCTACAAACAGAGTGCAAAATCATATCGAACGTTAGCAAAACTATTCACTCTACCTGGCAGAAAAACTTTGACGAATTTACTATCAAAAATCCCTGTAAATCCCGGAATTGATCGAACATTGATGAAAGATTTGAAACCCAATGTCGTCAAGCTAAGTGCAAGACAAAAACTCTGTGCAATTTTATTCGATGAGGTCAGTCTGGACCCAAATTTAACTTATGATCATAATAATGGAATGATAACTGGTTTTGAAGATAATGATATAGGAAAGACCCAACATTTTGCTGACCACAGCTTGGTATTCATGATTCGTGGCGTGGTTAAAAAATATAAGCAACCCATATCTTATACTTTTTGCAAGGGCACCACCAGTAGCCACGATTTTTCAAACCAAATAAAAAATGTGATTCAAGCAGTGCACGAAACAGGGTTGCATGTTGTTGCATCTGTTTGCGATCAAGGAGCCACAAACAAAGCTGCCATTAATATGCTGCATCATGACACTAGAGCGGAGGCACTAAGAAATAATATTCAATTTAAAGAAGAGTTTTACAATGTGGGGCAGATATATTGAATGTTGTACATATATATGATACACCTCATCTATTTAAAGGAGTGCGTAACAATCTTCTCAATAAAAATGTTTTATTCACCATGGACGGACAACAAATGGAGGCCGGCTGGAGTGACATTACCGAACTATATGAATTGGACTGCAAGATCGAGGATGTGAGAATGCTACCAAGGCTGACAGCCTAACATGTAATTCCTAATAAAATTAAAAAAATGAAAGTCAAATGTGCTGTGCATGTATTATCTGAAAGAGTTGCATCCATAATGTCATTTTTAGCTTGTATGTAAAATATCAGCATTGGACCGTCATTGAGCATTAAGTACAAATGTATCTACTATAAAATTTTTTATTTATTTATTTTAGTTATTTTAGTAGTATGTTTAAAAATGTCCAAGCTATTTAAGCATAGTTATCAATACTGTTGTACTTAACACTCGATAATATTTTTTAACATTGAAAATATGCATTATTCTATAAGTACGGAAATTGTTCATTATGTGTCAGCAAAAAAAATTTTGAATGAAAAGGCTAAAGACACTGCAAAATTCTGCCAGATTTTTGACAAATTATTTGACTCAGTAAACGGGAACTATGACAAAGTAGTAGATGGAAAAATATATCGCACCGGCCTGAAAAGGTACTCACCACACCATGAGTTATGGGAAGTGTCGCTCAAAGTGTTGCAGTCAATGTACTTCATAGATCCTGTTAGTAAAAAAAAGACAGTTCCTCAACCTTTAACAATTAAGAATTGGATAAAAACTATTAAAGGTAAATCTTAACTGTTCATTTCATTGCACGGAGCATGTTACTATTTATATACTTAACATTTGTAGGATTTCAAGAAGTATTTAAGTTATTGAACAAGCTGGGAATAAAATCAATACTGTTAAGAAACTTTAACCAAGAATCACTAGAGAATTTTTTTCGGAGCATTGCGTCTATTCTTGTCTATGGTGCAAATCGCCGCCGGACTTGTAATTAATATAACGTGCACGTGCACGTGCAGCCACCATCTACGTAAGTACACTGTCGGTCAAGGTCGCCGCCTGCGGACAACATCACGGGCACTGCAGCCGACGCCACCCACCTCCGCTCAACTGCCGTCGTCGTTCGGTATCGTTCACAATCTATTGTCATTGTTTATTATTGTACCTACTAGCGTTACCATTATTATTACGCTCTAAGTACTTGAGTAAAAGTATTCAAATACTTTTTAAGTACTCAAATACGTATTCTAAATACATTTGAAAAAAGTACTTGGGTATAGTATATGAATACTTTTTTGAAAGTATCTGTATTTAAAATCAAATACTATTTTTAAATACATTTTACTTTATTACCAAATTTAAATAAAATAATAAAAATTTGAAATTGTACAAGATTTTTAATTATAGATCGTTCATGGTGTGTTTTGGTGGGTATATTGTAATATTTTTGGTGGCCTATACTAGGTAATGTGTATCCATTTAACTGAATGTATACAGTCTGTAGATTTTCTAATAAAATTGGAAATACCTTTACTCGAATTATATATAAATAAAACATAACGATAGTTGATTGATAATAATATATTATATCTATACATTATACACGCAACCCGCATTCGATTATTCCTGGTAATCCGTCCTTGTATTATCGCAGAATATCGTTGAATAACATTGTACTTTTGTAACCGTGTTAGTGTATGATTTAGACATATTTTAGTCTATTGAGTGTGTAGTGACTAGTGACAAGTGTAAGACGTAAGTAGTGGTACTGTGTACTAGTTAAAAGTAAAACTAAATGGCATCAAGATCAAGACAGTCTCAAAACGTATTTTTTATCGTGCTGGTTCTATTCATTTTTTTAATATTTAATTCAGTTATATATTAATAATTGTTGTTGTTAAATATTAATCAATATTCAATAATAATGAATGAATCATTGGAAGAAACTGGGGATGATACCCACTGTTCAGAACCAATGGTAAATATGAAATAGACATATTATTTACATACGATATACCTATACTATTATTAAATAACCTATTTATCTATTTTATGTAGGTTCAAACTGTATTCATTTCATTATTATTTATTCAAATTTATGAATAGTTATGAATTTATGATTATATATTTTATAATACCTAGAACTGTTCGCCTGTATAATATTCTTATTTTAAATAAATAGTACCCTATTTTACACTATATAGGGTTAGGTACACCCATTGGCCATTGCCCACTATGTCATACTACTGAGTATGGACCTACACGGGCTACAGAACATTTCTACATAGGTACCTCGTACCTAACTAATTTTTTTTAAAAGATCTCATTAATTATGTGTATGAATATGATAAATCACTAAATCAGTTAAAATACCTATATAAGCTTAATAAAACTATTAAAAAAAAAAAAAAAAATGAAGTAGGTTCTTACTTCCTAGGTATTGTATTATTAAGAATATGTAGAATTTATGTACACATAATTGTATAACTGAATTTTTTACAGGATAAATTGGAATTGCCATTTCCAAAATATACAAAGCTTTTAAACTTTCAAAAATGATTGAAAATAACTTGACATACAAGAAATTTGAAGTAATTTGTAAACTTTGCATATCAAATAAACATATGATTTTAGATAGCAGATCCAGCTCAAATATTATAAAACATCTGAGGGTAAGCTTTTTGATTATTTTCTAGTTGTAATATTATAAACTGTGTTATATTATTTTATGAATAATAATATATATAATAATGTATACATCTTGAAATACCTATTATATTTATATGTACCTGTAGTAAGCCTACCTGCCTCCCTATATTTAAAAATTAAAATAATAGATTTAATAATAAATTGAATATGTGTCATTTTGTAGAAAAAACATGGCAGTGTTTTTAAAAACATTAATCGAGATGCTGGTGTAAAGAGAAAAGAAACTGACCGTGTAGATTAGGGTAATGAAGTTCCAAAAAAAAAATCTTTAACTTTTAAGCCAAAGCTTGATTTAACTAAAAGAACCATTTCCCAAGGTAACTATTTTTCATGATAATAGTAAGTACCTATATTTTAAAATCAATCAATAATCAATATAATATAGTATATTAAACTATGAAATTGTTATTGCTGTTAGATTTAAAATTGAAACTTAATATTCATTATAATTGATTTCAATAACTCAATTTTGATTATGATTGATAAATTAATTTATAGTAAAGACTAGTATCTACCTACCTCATTAGTCATTACTTTCAGAAACACAATTTATTAAGTTATTTGAATATTGTAATAGTCTGTGTGTGTAATGTTCTAATGTGTTACAGATTATTTAAACAATATGATCATAAAATTTATCATGAGTGCAACTATTCCATTTTCTATTGTTGAAAATGAAGATTTCAAAGAACTTATTAATTTTGGTTTTCCAAACAAAAACCTTTTAAGTCGGCCGACTTTGATGAAAAAAATTAATCAAATGTCTGAAGTACTGGTTGACAATTTAAAAAAGGAAATGGATTCAATACAACATATTACTACAACTGTTGACTGTTGGTCGATATTTAAAAAGTAAGTTGATATTTTATAAGTTAATTATATAGCTAAATTAAAATAATATTTTTAAAAAGTGAACAATTATTAATGTTTTTAATATATTTTTAGATCTTATATTGGTATTACGGGAAGTTGGATTGACCCAAGTATACTCTTTTCAGAATAAAGGTCCATTCTCACTGCTCCGGGACGGGTCCGGGCCGGAATCCGTCCGGGTACGAAAAAAATTCTATTCAATGCATTTTAAATGTGAACATTCACATTTATCCGGGCCGGGTCCGGAACGGTCGTCCGGGCCGGGTCCGGGCCGAAAAAATATTGTTCCCGACAATTCTCTATCAGGGTTCCCGGACGGGCTTCACCCGGATTGAACGTGTCCTGACCAGTGTGAACGATGAACCGTGCCGGGTTCATATAGTATCTGGGTTGTTTTTTACTCCAGCATCTCTCATATGGATCTGACTATCTATAGAAGGTGTTATTTTCTAATAATTTGATATGGAATTCGTATGAATTCGTTCTAAATTAATGAAATTCGTACTACCTTCTTTCCAAGTAAAAAAAAAAAAAGAAAAATGGTGATACTGATGTTAAATACTTTTGTATAAAAATTACATCAGGCACGTACAGGATTATATTAGGAGTGTACAGGAACGTACAGGTCCTTACATGTTTGAAAACGAGCGTGAACGACACACTATGAGCCTTGAGTCAAGAGTGGTGCCCATATGACAGTTATTACCCATTCAACTTTTGTTTCGGTCTCTACTCTTTTATATATTTTGAATTTTTAAAATATGGACTCCGAAAAACTTATTGAAATTGTTCGAAGTCATTCAAGTCTTTATGACTTGAGTGACCCCAAGTATAGTGATGCGACACACAAAGATAAACTTTGGAAAGTCATAAGTGAAGAATTAAATCAACCAGGTAATTATGTATTTTTTTTAATTCATTTTCATTTTTAACTTAAATTAATTTTAAAAATAATAAAATCTATTGTATTATATTATATATATATATCAGTATATTTACTTAAAAACTCGTACCTATAGTTACAATTTATATTTTCGACTTTCGAGTACGAATAAATTTTAAAATAGACAAATCTATAGTATATATGTGTAATATTATGTGGGTATAATTATACAGTATAATTACTGTTTTGCTATTATATAGTTAAATAAAATAAAACCAATAAAAAGTGAAAATACAATGTGTCAACAACTTGTAATAAAAAAACATAAGTTAGCTTTGTTTAGTATTTAAGCTTAAATAAAAGTTAATTTAAAAATTAAAAGTAAGCTAAAAATATTTAAAGTTATACTATATTACAGATTATAATGATTATATAAAATTATTTTGCCATGAAACTAATCCAGCTTCGGAATTAAAAAAATCTTTAAATGTTTCTCTGACCTGAAATGCTTCTTGGCTTGCGTTACCTCCATGGAAAGGGACATTTTGTAACGTAATTGCATCTGTATAATCATTTACACTTCTCGATTTATCAATCCGATTGTATACTTGTTTACCATCATAAATTTTTATAAAATTGTGTAAGACACGAGTAGCCAAAATTATATTGTCCACGTTCTCTGGTTTGGCTTGAATTCTTCTGTTATATATTCGAAACTTTTGCGTTAGAATGCCAAATGTATTTTCGACGACTCTTCGTCCTCTACAATGCCTATAGTTGTATATTCTTCTAGAATTGTCATGTAGTTGTTTGCCTGGATAAGGTCTCATTAGATACTCTTTCAGCGGGAACGCCTCGTCCCCCAAGATTACGTAGGGAACAACATTTGTTGTTCCCGGGAGGGCAACGCTTGGTGGCACGTTCAATTTCTTCTGATCTAACATTTTGCCTAGTTTAGAATGCATCAAAATCCCGCCATCGCTGCTCCTTCCATATGCACCAACATCAACAGCAATAAAGTTATAATGTGCATCGACAAGGGCCATGAGTACTATTGAAAATGTTTTCTTATAATTAAAATATTGCGAACCACTGTTGGGTGGCGCTTGAATAACAACATGCTTCCCATCTAATGAACCTATACAATTTGGAAAGTTCCAACAATTCCAAAACTCGTCGGAAATTTCCTTCCATTTGGCAGATGTGGGTACTGGCATTACCTCTGACATCAGTTTGTCTACTATAATTTTACATGTATCTGTCACTATTTCGTGAACAGTTGAATGTCCCAGTCGATAACTGAATGATATAGTTTTCATAGAATCACCCGTTGATAAAAATCTAAAAAATCAAATCATTTTTATTTAATATCAGTAAATAATAATCAAACCTAAAAAACTCCAATTTAAAATTTAAATAAACAAATAATAAATAATAAATCTATTAATGTATTTTTAAAATTGCATTACGTAGTTAACAATTGAAAATAATATTTAGGTAATGACGAAAATGTCCATGTTATCATAAATAATACTTTTGAATTAAAAGAATTATAATAATTATTTATTTTATGTTTGAATATCAAATTTCATAAAAGTTTAAAGTATGACATATCAATAAATTGTGAATAGGTTATATAAAGGTAATATATTATATTTGAAACTTTTAAAATTTAAATAACAATTTATTTTATTTTATATATTCATTGTTATGTAATGAAAAACCTAAATTTGTTTATGATTATGAAATACAGTATATAATGATATATTTTTTATTATATTTGTGTAGCTAATGCGTGCAAGACTAGGTGGTATAACATCAGGGACCAATACAGGAAAGTTTTAAATAAAAAAAAAACAACGAGTGGTCAAGCTGCAAAAAAACAATTTAAATATAAATACGAGGATCAACTTTCTTTTTTAAAAATAACCTTCCAAGAAAGATCAACTACTACCAATATCGATGGTAGTGATTCGGAAGAATATGATGACACTGCATACTTGGACAATCCTGGATGCTCTACAGATATGAATATTAGTATCGAAACTCCAATTAATAGTAGTACATTTACATCTATGCCAACGCAACAATCAAATTTATCTACAATTTCTAAAGGAGGAGGGAAAAAAAATGACAAAGTAACGGCTTCAGCGGTGATGATGAAATATCTATTAGATAAAAAATCAAAAGCAGAAAATGATACAACACCAAAACATCATGTAGATGCATTTTTAACAGGAATCGCTTCTACAATGAAAGCGTTGGACCCGTATCGTGCTAACATAGCAAAAACAAGGATTTTTTCTATTGTTCAAGAACTAGAAATGGACCAGATAATGAACGATCAACGTCAGGTATACACACCGACACCTCAAATACCAGTAACTCAAAATAAAACAAATATGAACGGAAGTAATGAACAAATTCAATCACAGCACACTGATGAACCGTACTATCAAAATTTATAGGTTAGTTCTACAATATATTATACAATTTAAAATATTTCTTTCTAAATGTTTTCATAATTATTAATAATTTTTTGTAATAATAAAATTTTATAATAATATAATATCGTAAGTTAATTTGTCATTAATTTATAAGTTTCTTCATACTATTTTATAAAGAGTTAATGCAAAATATAATTTTATAATCATAAGTTAATTTGTATTTAAATTGTTATGTTTAAGCTCAAATAATAAATAAATAAAAGGAATAATGTTAAAATACTAATAATTTGATTGTCAAATGATTTAATAAAATATGTTTTAGAATAAATATTTCTTTGAAAACACTTATGTCTAAGTTGTTAGTTAAAATGAACTGTAACATTTCTATTTTATTTAGTACCTAATGTTTGTTGAAAATAAATATATTCTTACCTTAAACATACTGCTAATCGATGCCTAGGTGGAATACATAGCCTAAAGTTGGTGTTTTGTTTTTGAATATCATTTTCAATTTTTTTAAACAATACATTGAAAGAATACATTGACATCCTAAAGTACTCATAGAACTTAATCTCGTCGTGTATTAATTCTTTGTACAAAGTTGCGAATTCACCCTCGGTTTCACGTTTCTTCCAAGCAGCGTGGACCCAAAACTTCCTAGGCTCCCGTGAAACTATTTTCTCTTCCTCTTCTTCATCAAGTAATATTGCTATCATTGCAAGTTCGTCGTCGGAAAAATTCATAGCAATACTAAATTACATTATTTGTAGATTAAAGTCTTCTATATTTTTTTTAATATGTAGTTATAAAATTATACTTACTATTTATATTTGCAGAACTTAAAATATAAACTTTCAGACTTCAGTAATATAAGAATACTTTCTCCAACTCAACAAACAGAACTATAGGTACGCGTGGTTTCGATGCTTAATTACAACTGATGAGTGATAGGCGAAGTACGGCCGATAGATATGGACTTTCGGCTTTCCGGAATCCGGACGGATCCCTGAATAGTGTGAATGCTGACACCCGGGCTACCCGGACGGGTAAAAAATTTACACAGCCCGGCCCGGACCCGTCCCGGAGCAGTGAGAATGGACCTTAAGAAGGAACCAGGCGGCCACGGACAAAACCGGTTTTGTTACGTAAATCTGGCGCGTTCTTATTCTGAAAAGAGTATAGTTTAACTAGAGTATCGTGTTTACTGGCCATAAAACGGATTAAAGGACATCATAGTTATGATGTATTAGCACAAGAAATGATAATGGTATATGACAATTATAAAATAAGTGATAAAATTTCATATACGACAACCGACAATGCTTCTAATTTTGTGAAATGTTTTCGGTAATTATGTTTATTTATTTTTATTTAACTTATAGGAGCTAAAACATGACACAAACTTATTGGAACCAAACACATGTTTTTATTTATTCATTTTATTTAATATTTATTGATTTTGTATTATAAAGAAATTATTGTTAATATTTTTTATTCTAATGTTTTTTAACAGAATTTTTAACATTTAAAATCTTCCTCCAAAAGATGTTACACCTGAAGTTGATACACGGTTTTATTGTTGAATGAAAATTCAGATGAAAGTGATGCTGACATGGTTGATACTGACGATACGGTTGATAGTGAGGGTTTATCAAATCCTACTGTTTCTAGTTTAGACATTCTGTCAGAAGACCAACAATTCTATGTTGATGCCGATGGATTACCAATTTATGATCATAACTCATTTGTGTTACCTAAACATCAGCGCTGTGCAGCGCACACTCTAAACTTGATTGCCTC